GGGGGGGGGGCGGGATCAGGGGACCCACCGGGTGGAGGGGAGGGGACGGGTGAATAAGGAGAAGAGGCGTAACGCTTCTAGTCCTGGTGGAAGGGAGGTAACCCGGTCAGGCTAGAGGTGGCGGTCCACTGACGGTCATCTGCTGCTGTGTCTGGTGGCCAAGGGAATGCAGAGGCCCTACGCCGTAGGTGGTCAGAAGGCAACCTGAGGGGCTTGTCTCCACCACGGTACAGCTGTTAGCAGGCTGGGAGGCCCACCTGGGGCAACGCGTGTTAAGGCCTCCTTCCAGCGGGCTGAATGGGAGCTAAGGGGTCCTGCGGGGAAGGCCCTGCCGGGAGCAGACCTCCCCACTAGGCTTATTACCCTCTGCTTTGAGGCCCTCTGCTCACCGGCCTGGTCTCTACAGTGTTCTGCTGTCTCTTCATCCTAGGCACCTCCACACCCACCTTTGGTCAGAACACCCCTGCTCCTGGGGTGGGCGCATCAGGCAGCAGCCTCTCCTTTGGGGCATCCTCAACACCCGCCCAAGGCTTTGTCGGAGTTGGACCTTTCGGTAAGCGGCCAGTCTCCTTGTTGCCAGTGCGACCTGCGTATCTCCTCTCTGAAGATGGGGTGGGGTGGGCTGGCAGCTCCGGCTCTCCGAGGCCCGTCTGGGAGTCCAGCACAAGCCAGGTTTGGAGTTGGGCAGCAGAGATGAGAAGGAGCTAGACTGCTGGGACGCCAGGTAAAAATGCCTTCCTGGGCCTTGCTCCCAGCCTATCTGTGGTCTTGGGATTTTGCCTTTTTAATAAGCCCTCCCCCAGAAGAATTGCTAGAGCTTGGCGAGGCTTTCTCCCAGCATCCGGTGTTCTTTAGAGACTGCTCTCAGGTAGCAGCTACCCTGATGAGGTCTTGTTGAATCTTTCCAGGATCGGCGGCCCCCTCCTTTTCCATTGGTGCGGGATCCAAGACCCCAGGGGCTCGACAGCGACTGCAGGCCCGAAGGCAGCACACACGCAAGAAATAGCCTTTGCCCCTGCCCCCCACACCCCCGCCACCCTTGCCCAAATCTGGACCTCAGCACCTGCTAGGAAGAGTCTCTGACCCTTCCAGTTCCATAACGCAGACCTGCCCCAGACCTCTGGCTTCGGCCACCAGGGAGGTGGTGGCAGCCCCAGGGGCTGTTTACCTCTTCCAGGAAGCAGAAGCCTCGGGCTTCTCGAGGGAGGAGGGGGAGGCAGGATGTGGCGGGGCAGAAGCCTATTATTACTACCTTACTTGAACAGTTCCACTGGTGAGGCTGGAGAGAACTAAAGAAACATCTGTACATATCGTCCACTGCCTTCCCTGACTCTCGTTTAGTGTATGAGCTTGGTCAGGCGGCCTCCCTTCCCGCCTTTTCCCTGAGAGCCATCTTCGCCGGAGGGCAGCAGGTAGAGCCCTCACCCACTTGCATCTCTGATATGCACTTGAGATGGGACTGGGGGATGGATTATCCCTAAAACTTTACCTTGCTTGGCTTGGCTATAAAAAGTGGTTCTCCCCCTCTGGTCCCATTAGGGGACTCTGTTTCCCCATTTCTCGCTGCTTCATCCCTTACTGGTTCCTTGCAGGATCGATTCCACTTAAAATGATCCTGACTCTAGCTTTGCCTTTGGAGACCCCAGCGGGTGCTGCTCCTGCTGTTCCACTTCCTCCTGCCAAGTCCGAGCCGCTGTTTCATCCCCAGCCCTCTCTGCCAGTTTGGCCCCTAAAAGCTTGGTGGCTCAAGACTGTTAGGCTGGCAGACCCAGGGGTGATACCTTCCCCAGGAGAGGGAAGCTCCTGGAGCAGGCAGGACGCCCCCGCTGCTTTCAGCTGCCTCCTCGCCCACCGTCCCCGTCGGCCTCATTGGGCTCGTCTGCCTCTCCGGGATTGTATGTCTAAAGCCTTGTCCTGTGTTATTTTGTCTGATGCTCACGTCTATTGCTCTTTGAATCGAGTTTGGAGGAAGAACTGAATTGTATGAGTGGCGGCATGTTGGTAGTGCCGGACTTAACTGTTTCTCAAGTTCCTCGGGCCTCGCTAATTGAATGTGGAAAGTAGCACCACTTTATGGCTACAAGTGCCGAGTCCTGAATTTTCAAATGGTGTTTTGACTTTAAGGGCTGGCAGCCCAAGGAGGATGGGTCTGAGGGGAAGCAAAGGCCTCTTCCCTCTGCTGTTTCTTTCCCACCTGCCTAACTTCACCATAGGCTAGATCACTTGTAGTATCTGTTAGAAAACCTAAATTAACCACATTTTAAAATTGTGTCTTACTTCCTCCGCCCCTTCCTTCCTTCTTCCTTGGTTCCAAAACCACATACCCCAGGCCCAAAACCTGGCTGCCATGCCCATCCTCTTTGGGAGAAGTATGAATGTGTGTGTCTAAATTAAAAGGAAAAATATTTAAACATTTTTTAACAAAATAAAAATTTATTTTTGTATTTAAGCTAAATTGCCTTTTAAATTCCTTCAAGCTTGGTTCACTGAGGTGGTTAAGTATAAATGCTATTGACTAGAAATCTCGCTGTATAGTTAAGTTATGCCTGTGTGCAGAAGAGGCTCAAATGCTGTCCCAGGCAGCTTTCCTGAGGGACTAGAGCTCCTTCCGGAAACACAAGATGTAATTCTTATTTTATAAATAATGTGATGTAGATGTAACTAGTCCCCCTCCCCTTGGTGAATGAGCGTGAATGTTGTGTGGCAGGGGACTGTGCCTCCCCAGCCCCAAGGAGAGCTCTGTTAGTACTTAACTGTTGTGTGTGGAGCTGAGGAGGGACCCGAGCCTCAGACACCTGCTAGGATTGGAGGGGGGTGAGGCGCGGGTCTAGAAATCAAGCTTCTGCCTATACCTTACATAAGGTAGCTCCTCTCAGCTTAGTACTCGCAGCTACAGCTAGTTTACCTCAGTTCCACAGGCAGGACAGTTGATCCAGGGGCCCCCTGAAGCAGGCGTCCTGGCGCAGCCTGAGCGTGAGCGCGTGAGTGCGGGTGTGGACGTGTACGTGCACTGGACAGGGACGGGAGGCTGGGACTTTCCATTACAAATACAGACTGAATTCCTGTGAGTCTAGTTGGAATTTTTAGTATGAACGTGAGATTGTTCTCCTCGCTTATGTCATTAAAAAAAACTGTGATCTATCGTAGACCGTGTCCTGCCTTTTATTTATGTGGGAAGCAGTGCATCTCACCAGCAAGAACAGAGCCCAGGGAAGGGACCCACAGCACAGGGATATCCGCTCTTTCCAGCTGGAGAAATGCGGTTACCGGTTTTCCTCCTCCAGCCATAAAAAGAGCCTTTGCAAACAAAACTGCTGCCTGGGGCTGAGGGCCCGAGACTAAGCTTGAGAGGACGACCTGAGGGGTCAAGGCTCTGAGCACCTGCTACATGCCAGGCTGTGAGCTGGGGGCAGCTGTTGCTTTTCGCCGCCTCTTCTTCTTTCTCTTTGGGGCTGGGTTGGGTGTAACTTCTGGGGCTGATGCTTCAGCCTGTGAGACGGAGCTGGAAGAAAAGAAGAGTGAGTTAGATGTGCCCCAATCCTCCAGCGTCTTCCAAGCAGGCCCCCTGCTCACTAACCTTGGCACCTCTACCCGTTCAAGTACAGCAGTGAAGAAGCCGCCAGTGAGCGTGGTCTCAGGGGAGGCCCGGAGGCAGTGCTCAGCACCTGGAAAAGTGCCAAGGCCTCGGTGCGGCCAGGAGGGGAGGATAGGAGCCAGCCTGCAGAGAGGAAATGGAACGGGCTTCTAAGTAAGAGTGCGGCCCTCGCCTCAAGACCCTGGTGGACACCCACTACCTGAAGGCTGCTGGGCTCTGCTGCAGGGCGGCTCGCACCACGTCTTCGTTCTCCTCCTGGTAGAGGGAGCACGTGGAGTAGACGAGGCGCCGCAGGGCGGGGAACGTGAGCGCGTGGCTCAGCGCCCGCTGCTGGAAGGCGGCCAGTGCTCGCAGGCGCTCCTGGCTCGGTACGCTGGTGCCGGGCTCCTCCAGCTGTCTGGTCAGCATCCCTAGGGACGAGTGCTTTCACCACACGCTGCCTGATTTCGTATGAAATCCCCACATACAGATGAGCACATCTGACCATTCACAGGATAACCTGAGCCAGAACTAAACCCAAGGCCAAAACGAACAACCACCGCCACACACACCCCCATCCCCGCTCTAAGGCTGCTCTGGATCTGTGGGGCCCTTGGCCGCGTTTTCCCCCATCTCACCAGAGCCACTACAAGAAGGATCCAGCAAGATGTACTGGACCTGACGATAACGCTGGTCTGAGGGCGAGACCTCCAGGAAGTCCTGCTCAGCCAGCTCGCAGCAAGAAACCCCAGCCCGGGCCAGCAGGGTAGCCGTAGAAGCCAGCCGCTTGGCATCCAGGTCAAAGGCAAAGATCTTCCTAGGGAGGAGGGCAGAGTTGAGGTGAACTGAGAATTTACGTAACACGTAAGAGCCCACAGGTCTGACACAGTAACACGTACTTGAAGTCAGGACACACAGAAAATCATATTTAAATGTCTTTAAATTCTCAATATTTAAAAAGGGTCAGTGGGGGACTTCCCTGGTGGTCCAGTGGTAAAGATTCCACCTTCCGATGCAGGGGACGTGGGTTCGATCCCTGGTCAGGGAACTAAGGTCACACATGCTGCGGGGCAACTCAGCCTGTGCACCACAATGACCGAGCTCGCGCACCTCAATGAGAGCCCACGTGCCTCAAACTACAGAACCCGCGCCGCAACGAAAGATCCTGCACGCCTCAACCAAGACCCTGTGTGCCACAACTAAGACACGACACAGCCAAAAATCAAACAAAAAATTAAAGTGAGTCATGTGAAGTTTAAAACAAAGTTAAAAAAAATAAAGGTCAGTGGTTAGAAATAACTGCCCAGGGCCCTCCGCTCCAAGGGCTAAGGGATTCACATCTCACACGTGTAACCCACTGGGAAGCTTAGGGAACTGCCCTAGGTCCAGGAGGAAATATTTAAAGGGAAGGCCTCCTTTCAGCCTTCATGACCTACTGGAGTTGAGTTCCTTATTTCTTCTTATAAAATATAGGATCAGACCCCACCCTACTCCTCTGTCTGACCATGGCACTCACCCTTGGTTCTTCAGAAGGGCAGCCAAGTGACTGGTCTTATTGCCTGGGGCAGCACATGCGTCGATGACATGGGAACCTGGAGGTGGAGCTAGCAGCATGGCCGGGAGACAGCTCGCCTGGCGGCGCAGAGCACAGGGGCTGGCTGAAAGGGACCCCAGGCTGATCACTCCCCTCCCGCTCCTCCCTTTTCCACCCATGCACCCTACCTTGTCTTGTAGGATGAGGTGACCAGCTTGGTACAGTGGATGTTCATGCAGATCTGTTCGGGCAGGAAACACGAGCAACTCCGGCAACAAGGAATCCAGAAGAAAACGCTTCCCTTTGAGGGCCCTTATGTCCTCGAGGCTGCCAGGGAATAAGCACTATTCATTCCACGTTTTCTGAATCCCTCCATGCCAGGCAGCAAGCCAGACATTTCACATGTCACCTAACTGCTTATTTATGCAACAAATGGTTAAAACTGCTATGAGTAAATTAACAAGCTGATAAGATAGAGGCAGCAGTTAAGAGAACAGGCTTCTCAGGCCAGACTCTAGGTTCAGGATCCCACCTCCATCATTTACCAGTGGCGGGAGCACTGACACTTCAGCCTCTGTCTACACTTCTGGAAAATGGTAGATCTCGTGAGGATTAAATGACATGCAAAATACTTAGGAAAATATTTTGCACAAATTAGACACTCACTAGCCAGTACTATTAAAACATAACCCTGGGGAGAGGGGCCTGGTTCAGGGAGGTAAATGCTGAGCTGATTCATGATGGATGAATAAGTAACCTGAGCAGGTAAGGTGAAAACTGTATTCTCCACACTGCAAAGGAGCATTGTTCATTCATCTGACCCACGTAGAAAACAGGCCTAGAGAATAACAACTCAGAAAGCTATAAAGTAGCAGAGCTGGAATTCAAACCCAAACACAACCGTTCTCTACCACCCTGGTCACTAAGCAGCATGCTAGAGGCAGATGGGGGAACATCTACAACAGATGGAGAGAGAGGGAGAGAGAAGAGGCAGCTTCCCAGAGCTGTCAAAGGACAGACCAGGAGGTAGGTGAGTGCAGGGAAGCCTGGGGTGAGGAGCAGCAACCACTAGGATAACACAGGTGCACAGAGTGCATGGCAGATGGGCCTGGAAAGGAAGCAGGGGGCACAGCGCAATGGAGAGCCACGGGTTTTCAGTAGGGGAGTAAAGCATCAGATCTGGTTGCAGATCTCTCTGCAGCCAACACAAGGAGGACAAACATGACAAGAAAGTCTGGAAGTGGGGAGACCAGTTTAGGAGATTATTCTGCCAATCATGATAGGATATGATGCTTAAACCCAGGCAGTATCCAGGAGGACAAAAAGAAAGATGCTGAAGGCACAGTAGTAAATGACTGAAAGGAGAGGAGGGAAGCATCTATGATGACTCAGTTTCTGCCTTGACCAAATGGGTGCATAATGGTGATATCTGTTAGGTTAAAACAGGGAATGCACAAGATGCCAATGTCAGGGACGCAAGGATGGTTCAACACCCACAAAGTAATCAATGCGATATACACAATTAACAAAGAGGATAAAAATCACATGACCATCTCAACAGATGCAGAAAAAGCATTTGAAAAAATTCAACATCGGGCTTCCCTGGTGGTGCAGTGGTTGAGAGTCCGCCTGCCGATGCAGGGGACACGGGTTTGTGCCCCGGTCTGGGAGGATCCCGCGTGCCGCGGAGCGGCTGGGCCCGTGAGCCATGGCCGCTGAGCCTGCGCGTCCAGAGCCTGTGCTCCGCAACGGGAGAGGCCACAACGGTGAGAGGCCCGCATACCGCAAAAAAAAAAAAAAAAAATTCAACATCCACTCATAAAAACTCTCAACAAACTGGGTACAGAGGGAACGCACCTCAACATAATAAAGGCCATATATGACAAGTCCACAGATAAAATCATACTCAACGGTGAAAAGCTGAAAGCTTTTCCTCTAAGATCAAACACAAGGCAAGGATGCCCACTTTCGCCACTTTCATTCAACCTAGTATTGGAAGTCCTAGTCAGAGCAGTCAGGCAATAAAAATAAAAAGCATCCAAATTGGAAAGGAAGAAGTAAAACTGTCACTATATGCAGATGACATGATTTTATATAAAGAAAACCCTAAAGAATCCACCAAAAAACTATTAGAACTAATACATTCAGTAAGGCTGCAGGATACAAAATCAATATACAGGGAATTCCATGGCAGACCATTAATTAGGACTCCGCACTTTCATTGCCAAGGGCGTGGGTTCAACCCCTGGTCAGGGAACTAAGATCCCACAAGCCATGTGGCATGGCCCCCCCCAAAAATATATACATATATACGAAAATCTGTTACATTTCTATACACTAATAATGAACTATCAGAAAAAAAATTAAGAAAACAATCCCATTTACAATTGCATCAAAAAGTAAAAAATTCCTAAGAATAAATTTAACCAAGGAGGTGAAAGACCTGCACACTGAAAACTATAAGATATTAATGGGAAAAAAAACTGAAGATAACACAAATAAATAGAAGGATATTCTGTGCTCATGGATTGGTAGAATTAATACTGTTAAAATGTCCACACTACCCAAAGAAATCTACAGATTCAACACAATCCCTATCAAAATTCCAATAGCACTTTTCACAGAAACAGAACGAACAATCCTAAAATTTGTATGGAAGCCCAAAAGACCATGAATAGCCAAAGCAATCTTGAGAAAGGAAGAAAAAAGCTGAAGCATCATGCTCCCTGATTTCAAACTATATTGCAAAACCTATACTGCAAAACCACAGTAATCAAAACAGTATGGCACCAAGGAGAAGGTCAAGGTGGCAGAGTAGGAGGACGCTGAGCTCACCTCCCCCCCAACGAACATATCAAAAATACATCTACAATGTGGAGCAATTCCCACTGACAACAAACTGGAGACTCGCAGAAAGACTCTTATACAACCAAGGGCATAAAGAAAAATCCACATGGAATATGGGTAGGAAGAGAAGCAATTAGGTCAGGACCTGTGCCCCTAGGAGGGGACAAAGAAGAGAGGGATTACACAATCCTCCTTGGGTTTCAGGATGCTGGCACCATCTGGGTGGCATCACCTGAAGGACCACATGGAAACTGATTCCCTGCCACAGACACCCTCACTATTCATTATCAAGAGGAACTCCTATTGATACCATGGTGTAATACTTGTAGACTTTTAAAAAATCAGTATTTATTAACAACCAGGAAAAAAATGGAGCTCATACTTAACATATGACTTGTTTTCCCATTTGCTATATTGTCAATAAACATTCACACCATCAATGTAAGCAGCTCCCTGATATTTCACAGTCTGGATAAAACCAAAATTTACTGAACCAAATACATATTGTTGGGATATTTTAGAATAAATGTAGATTGAGCCCAATTTTCCCCTATTTGAAACAAAATTATGAACATTTCAGAAGCTCAATCTAACGATAAATGACTAAAAGCAAAATTGCTCAAAAAGGGCACACAGGGCTTCCCTGGTGGTGCAGTGGTTAAGAATCTGCCTGCCAATGCAGGGGACATGGGATCAAGCCCTGGTCCAGGAAAAGCCCACATGCCGCAGAGCAACTAAGCCCGCATGCCACAACTACTGAGCCCACGTGCCACAACAACTAAAGCCTGTGTACCTAGAGCCCGTGCTCTGCAACAAGAGAAGCCACCACAATGAGAAGCCTGCGCACCACAATGAAGAGTAGCCCCCCCACTCACCACAACTAGAGAAAGCCCGTGCGCAGCAACAAAGACCCACCGCGGCCAAAAGTAAGTAAATTTAAAAAAAGAAAGGGTGCACAGGTGAGTGGTTCAAACCACATTATTAGGCATCACAGCCCTAGGGTCTGACACCAGGAAGATGAATCCCCTTAACTGGTTTGAAAACCAGTAGGACTCAGAGAACAGCTGTTAGAAACCTAGATTCCACTCATGAAAAACAAGCACATGCTTGCTTACTCCAGGAAACAAGGTACAGGAAGCTGACTGAAACAGCCTGGGACTCTGGCTGGTTTCCTGCAAATGCCCCAGCCCAGTGCACACCCCAGCACACATCAAGCAGCTGCACTGATTCCCTGGCTCTGGCACAGCTCCACTCTAGGGAGAAGGTTGCCGGTGCCATGGAGAGTGCACAGTTGGGGGGGGGGGGCGGCGGGTGGGGACGAAGCCAGCTCAGACCTGGCATGGCATTCAGTTGGGGCAAGGGCAGCCATTACTGGCATTCGCAGAAGCAACAGATCAGGAGTGGTCTGGAGCTCTGACTGGCATGCCAGGACTGCCCCAGAGTGTGCCCCAGCCCATGCCAAGCACCCACTCCAGCCCCTCTTGCTCCAGCACCGCCCGCTCTGGGGCAAAGGTGCCATTGCTGGGAGCAGGGTAGAAAGCACACTTAGAGGAAACAGAACCAGTTCAGACCCAAACCTCGGCTTCTGCTCCAGTATCCTGGGACCAGACACCACTCTCAGTAGGGCAGTGACAGCCACTGAGAATTGGAGAAGCCCTGGCTCACGCCTGACTCTGGCTCTAGCTCTAGCCCCTCCACCTCCAGCCCCACCTCCCACCAAGGTGATAGCTGCCAGCACACCCTGGGGAAAGACATGACCCGTGCTTACTTTAGATCCAGTTCTCCCACCAAAGGCACTGGGCACACAGAGACTGCATAGTGATGCTCCCACACAAGGATAGCCCTTCAAGACTGGGATAGGTAACTTTTTCACCTAATTTCATAAAGTTAAGCAAAATAAGAAGACAGAGGAATTTGTTCCAAACAAAAAAACCAGGGAAAAAACCTGAAAAAAACAACTAATGAAACAGATAAATAATTTACTAGATAAAGTGTTCAAAGCATTAGTAATAAGAGATGAGCACAGTGAAAATTTTTACAAGGAACTAGAAAATATAAAAATGCACCAAGTCAAAGCTGAAGAATACAGTAAGTGAAAATGAAAAACACACCAGAAGGAATTAACGTCAGATCAAGTGATGCAGAAGAACACACATTTGATCTGGAAAACAGAATAATGGAAACTACCCAATCAGAACCACAAAAACATCTTTAAAAAATGAGACCAGTTTAAGGGATCTCTGGGACAACATCAAGCGTACTAATATTCACATTACAGCGGTCTCAGAAGGAGGGGAGAGAGAGAGGTCGAAAATGTATTTGGTGAAATTATGGTTGAAAACATCCCAAACCCGAGGAAGGAGACAAATATCCAGTATAGGAATCACAGAGTCCCAGACAAGACGGACCCAGAGACCCACACCAGGACATCATAATTAAAATGGCAAAAGTTAAAGAGAGAATTCTAAAGGCAGCAAGAG